AAACTACTAGGCCGATTTTAAAAATTCTTTCCCCTACGACCTCTACATTCTACGCGGGTGATATATGCTACTACTACACTATATTGTTTTACGCGAGCGAAGTCGCGAGAACAGCTAGTCTTTATGTAATTTTTATGTCAGTATCGCTATTGAGAAGTGGAATATAGACGGAGAAAACAAGAATTTTGGGTCTTTAAACGCGTCAAGACTGAACTCAGAATTCCATTAAGAAAATAAACATAAATAAATTTATATGATTCACTTTTATGAGAATTTACTAAACATCAATTATATATTATTAAGCACTATGAAATTTTACATCGAGTTGTTAGTGCATAATATTACTGAGTCATTTTCCTCAATGGGCACCATTAATTGTAATTTCATATGGAGTTTCCACATTACTAGTATCTTGGATGTGTTTACGTCAAAGAATCTTACTAATATTATAAAGGCGAAAGTTTTTAAGTTTGGATGTTTGTTACTTCTACACGCAAAAAGTACTGAACGGAATTTGATAAAATTTGGTATACGGGTAATTCTAAGCTTGGATTAACATATAGGCTAATATTTATCCTATTAAATGGTTCCCTGGGGACCTGTAGCTAGTAATATATATAGAGTAAGTTTTCCATGACTGCCAATTCTGGTTGTAATTTTGCATCCAGCGATAATACCACATCTCGAAGCTCACTCTTTATATAGCGTCCAAGCCTCACTACAATATAACATAAGACAATGGTGAAAATAAACGAAAGCGTTTTAGCGATAATTTCTAGGTAAACATTAGTAAACTTTTAGAAACAAAGCTTATATCAAAGAGAAAAGGAAAGCTTATATTCAGAAAGAAACGTTTTTCCGAGCTGAACAATATTGTCTTTGTAGTCTGATATCTTTAAGAAGAACAATAACATATATTTAAAAAGTCATTAATAAAAAAAGAAGAAGAACATCTAGTGGCTCTGGTCGCTGTTCTGTTTGACATAAAAAAACGACAAATGCTCGACGTCCTGCTAGGTGCATTCACCACAACACAAGTTTAAGAAAAATATATAGGTGTATTTTTTTATGAGTGATTTTTGAACCGTCATTATAGCGCTCTTGTTTATGAATTGAGTGCAACTGAAAATGAATTAGTTTAACATTGGTTATATTTTTCTATTTCTTGAATAATATGGCATTATATTTTGGTTATATATTAGTGCTTCAATTCTGCTTTTCTTTATATATCCCAATTACTTACATTTTGCTATTGTCTAGGTACTATCTACCTGAAGTTCAATAAGTGAAATATGTCTTTCCACAAATCAATGATGACAGATATTTATTATTTTGTTAACTTTAAAGGGTTGCTATTATTCCCATAGTTACGCTGACATTAGCAGAATTGCCCTCTAGGACTTTAGGACACAATTTCTCTAGTAATTAAATAATTCAGTCATTGCTAGACAAATTGTTATGATAAGAAAAGATAGTCAACACAGCACACGTTTGGATTCTGGCAGAACTCAAAAATATCAATACTTCTTTAGCGTAGAGCCTCACATGAAAACAAGAGAAGCAGGGAAATTTAAAATGTAACCCGGGTACCTAATACGCAATGTTTGATTTGTTGTCTTTAGTTAAGGTTTTTTTATGTTTCTATATTCTTTTGAATTAATATCAATATTGACATACTTTTGTGTAAATAATTGAAAATGAAGATAAATACGACAGACAGGTCATTAATATTTAGATAGGTGTACCTACTTACTCACTGTAAAATACATTTTTTATTTAAATAAAATATTTTGAATCAAAAAAGTATATGTATTTACCTAAATTTTGTTTAATAAAGTCTTTCATATTTAAATAATGTTTTTAGAATGTTTTACAGTACAATAAAGATGAAAAAAAAATGAAATACAACTTAATGTTGTGAATTTCCTACATCACAGTTTAAAACACATTAATTTATTTAAATAATCCATTTACCACTGTTACAAAAAAAGTAGACAGAATAATTTTTTTTTTTTCTATTCTAATACCATATAGGAAATATTAAATTGTTTATTAGTATTGAATAGGTTCTGAAACTACAGAATAAATAAAACTTCTTTTACTTACGGGAAGTTAAGTCACACACGAGTGAAATAGGCTATAATTCACTCGTACAAGTCGCGGTTTAACAGGTAGTTTGAAAATATAATTAAAAGCTTTTGATTGATATCATGAAATGCGCTTAAAATTATCTAAAAAAAAAAATATTTGTTGGTCTGTAATTTTTTAATCAGAGAATAGATGACGCTTTAGATATTATTTTGACTGTTAAAAGTCGAACTAAATATGTCAATGACATTTTTAATGAGATTACGTTCGATGAACTGGTTTAGTTTCGCTATCTTGGAAGGCGTTTATTGTCAGGGTTTGCGTGTTGAGCGAAATTATAAGATTCAATTAAGTTATAGTGATGCCTAATTGTTATTACACTGTTTTATTGCGATAAACTAGGTAACAATTGTTTAGGAGTTAAATGATAATTGTTATCTGTTTATGTAAATACTGAATGGTTATATATCTTAAATATATTTTGCATTATAATTGAAGTGTAAAGAAAGAGTTTTGGAACTTGGTCTTATGAAAATACATAATAAATGCAAAAATTCAATCTCATTGATATTAACTATAGGGTACGAGATCTTATCGATGTTATGACGATATTTCGTTTCATGTTATTTCTTTGATGTTTTTTAGTCGATAAATTTAATAGAGATGAAGATTGGGATATACCACCGGCTTGGGATCTAATAATTAGTCAAATAAAATCCCAATCCAGATCACACATTGCAAAACCAAAGCTCTTTCTTAGCAAAACCAAAAGTTAATTCTGTAAATATAAAATTAAAGGGAGCAATTCACTTTTTCTTGTCGGAGTTTGTTTCGCCAGTTTTTCTCAGACAAGACTCCCAAAATTGGGACTTGTGGTAGATTACAGTAGCTAGGGGTAACTAAATAAGTCAAATGTATTTTTAAAATTATTTTATTTTATTTATTAAATGGAAACGTTGCCATAATATATAAAAAATTGTATTGTGAGTGTGTCCAATAGTATTGGTCCTTAAAGGTAGCTTAATACTTTTAATTAAAAAGGACAATCAACACCTTAGTCTCATGTGAACACGAAACCTGTAAAGGGTCCTGTCTAAACAAACGCGATTAAACCGTTTAAAAGTTGTTTTATTTATAAATCGCTAATTTAGTAACACTATTATCAAATCCATAATCATCGTTCTTTATCGTTCGTTCGTCGTTACTGAAGTACATGTAAAAGTAGTAAAATTAAACGAAATATCACCATAACATGGTTAAGATGTCGTATCGTATGGCTAGAGATTTAGGCTGTCTCACCCCTGGATCGTCGGTTGAAGATTTTGTGAAACAATTGAAGAGATTTATACATATAGCACATATGAGATTTTTGTAGCTCCTGAGTAATGTTGAAGAGAAAAGGAGATGAGATCGAAAATTAGTCAAACAGAGGACGGCATGTTGTGCTAAATAAAGAGAAGGGATATAAAATATGTGCATTAAAATTTTTGCTTTCTATTTTGATAAAACATCAATCTCAAACTTAATGAAATAAAACTATCATTAGGTACTTTTTAAAATTGATTTCATTTGATTGAAGTAGAGCTATGATAGCATCTGTGTACGTTCGAGGTTGTTGTATAACATAATATATACCTAGGTTATCTATCACCTTTGTCGTTTTGATATTTATATTAGTTCAAAACCAATGTTTTACGCTTTTTCTAAACTGCATTTTTATAAAAGTTAGGAGCTCTAACAGGTTTCATTTAGAAATTTAGTTATCAGAAATGTTATTAACTTTTAAATATTATTCAAAATTTATATTATTAATATTACGATTGTGTTCGAAAAGATGCCAACTTGACAGGTTAAGGTTTTTAAGTTACTCCCCTGAGTGATTTACTTGGCTACAGGATTCTGCTTAGTGAAATTTATACAAGTCATTATTGAAGAAGCTTTCCAAATGAAACCTTTGATAATGTAGCTTTAGATAGCTCAATACTAATTACCAGGCCTGTTTTTCCCCTTGGTGCAGTGCGTGCAATGCACCCGGGCGCCGGGCCGATGATGGTTTATTATAAATATACATATGTAAAAAGTGGGCTGGGGGGCGCCAGAGCACTTCTTGCACCCGGGCGCCTGTTGTGCTTACGGGCCTGCTAATTATATTATTGCTTTGATAGATCTCTATTACATTTGATAGTAAAAAAAAGAAATTCTATTTAGTCCATCAATAAGATAATAGAAAAATCACAGATAAGTGTTTTTATTAGCTTAAAGTTAACAAGAAATGATTTAGATAATGGTTTTACATTTGAAGAGTGGCTCTATGTCACGCACGACTATTTAGAAGACTACAAAGTCACCGTGTGACATTTTTATTTAATTTGAAGGATAAAAAAGATCTTAGTCGTCATTCCTTTTACTTACCCAGGAAAGTCAATATTTAAGTATATTGAGTTCTACTAGTTTTGATAGATAATACAATTCTCAGCTGCAAGTTCCGTATTCTTGTTATGAAAAAAAAGGTCCTTAGCTCCTTTTAAATTTTATATTACCTACGCTACTAACGCTACGTACAGCGTATAAGCCAGTAGTTCCTAACTTTTTCATGATTATCACTCTATGACCTATTTGGGAAACTGATTTTACTCACTAACACCTCCTCCCGTGTCTAACTGGAGGCTAAGCACTTGAAGGGTACGGTTTTATTAAATTTTGTCTTAATGAATATTAGGTTCTTATTACTCTCACAAATTAGATTTACCCCCGTGGCGGTAACTACCCGTGGGTTAAGAACCACTAGTACAAGCATGAGAGACATTGATTTCATATTTTCATTTGTAAAGTTTGGTGCACAATGTCTTCTATCAACGAGGTGCTGCCGTCATACACAACATTGCAATATCGCAATCACATGGTTTTGCTGGCTAGTAGTTATTTTGCTATATTTAAGTACCTACGTATAGTGCGCGGTTGACAGCCGTGCACGACACTCGCGTCTAATAAACTCCTGCGCAGACCCCCGACATTCACTAATCTTAAGCTCAATGAGCATTTCCTGAGTAACCAGTAGCCATGTGCAGAACTTTAGTATAATTTTATTATTTTTTATTAATCTCCGTGATATTGACAGTGATATATAGGTATTAAGTAGTATTATTTAAAGTGATATATTTAAAATGGAGTACAAATGTTTGATTTTCATCTCTATTTTAATTTGTGGAGGGTAAGTAAAATTTATATAAATTTATTATATTTAATAATTTTGAATTGATTTGTGATTCCAAACCCTTAGTATGTTCAATACCAGAAACGTGCTAAAATTTGTTGAACTCGAGTTAAAATAATTATGCATAAAAAAAATATTAAAAAGTATTCATGTATTTGTTTTACCTGCTTTATTAACTTCTCTGTGTATTTATTATTTATTTAATTAAACGATCCTAAAATTTTTTTGACTAAAAGTTTCTCATATTTATTTAAATTTGATATTGTCAAACTTTGTTTTGTTTTATCAAAATCAAAATTTATAAGGTTCTTCCCCTTGACCTAAAACTATGAAAAGTCGTAAGTAACATTGTTTTTATTGTTCAAATTCAAGGAAAACCCTGAAAGTTAATTAATTAAAAATATAAATTAATCGAAATTTAAACTACTATTTCATTTAGTGAGGTATCATATGAAACGAAATTTTAAGTTAGAGAGACATGAATTGGTTAGTTTCAAGTGGGGTTGACTTAGAAAGGAACTGTAGGTGTTATTCTCTACGATTGGACTGATTGTGCAATTTTTTTAATGTTAGTAATAAATAAAATGAATACAGTTTCTATCGAAAGATAAAAATATACATAGGGAACCCTTGTGTGCTACTTGTTTATGACAATTTTTTTTAAATATCATTAAATGGCCTAACTATAAAGCTATCGCTTCTGCAGTGTTAGTTTGCAAAAAATTCAGCGTCAAAGCAGTCTCATCACAGAGGAACCTATGTGCTGTGCTTGATGTCGATTTCGAAGCGGTTTTTATTACAGAGTAGCACAACTGATAAGTAGTGGTTAGCAAAATTTAAGGTTTGTTTAGATTTTTTACGTTAATTTTAAGTATCGTGACGTATATACCTATTTTCATAGAAACCCATGTTAAGTACAAAACAATAGAAACAGACAATATTGTGCGATTTACGCTTGTACGATCACCGACAAATATTTTGCAAGAATATAAAGATCTATTTCATTTAAACTTACGTCTTTGTGATTGCTAATTTTATCAAATCTAATACTTACGTAAGGTCTTTAAAGTTATTGAACTTTAATCAGCGTGAATGAAGGAGTATCTGTATTACACTTTCATTTTCTGATGTCAGTTAACAATGTAGTGAGAGTACTAACCATTCATTTGAAAGTAGTTATCCTATTCTGAAATAAAATCAGCCTCGAAGTCGACGTCGAGTACAGAACTGTTACAGCATAGAGTTTCAATGAAATATTACCTTTTGAGGTTTTATTTGATTGAACCTCGATACTGAGTTCAAATCTGATTTATTTACGGAATACAACTGCAGATTTTACATATTTATAAATAAGTAACTTTCAAATAGAAGGATAACTTTTAAAATTAAAAACCTAGTTAAAAACGGACATTTCGTACATGTCGATAATATTTTGAAATTTTTTTGATAAGATATAAGATAATGCTGCGCGATAATAAGATAAATTTGTCGTCAAAACTACTTTAAAATTGTATATGCAACAGCACGCGGGCACAACAAAATTAAGTTCTACATAATCCAGCTGTTAAAACTTGCCAATAAGTAAATTAGTGAAATTTTTACAATTAACTGGCGGCGGTAAATTGGTAAAATTTGACAATTTATAGGTAACTGGGTTTGTCTATGTAAGCACGGGTATTTTTTTACATACGGATCTCTAACATTTTTGAAAATATTCTATCGTCTACCTTCATCGAAAATAATAAAGGATTTTGATAGTAAAAAATATATTCAAAATGGTTTAATAGTTTTGGAATCTATTTCAAGAGAATAAAGAAACAGACAAATTTTTCTTAGTGGGATGAAAAAATCGAAGGCTGTTGTTTCATAGAGGTAAAAGAATTATCAAAATTAGTCGAGTAGTTTCGGAAGAAACGAGCCAGTAAACAATCAATTCTTTACGTTTAATATAGATAATGTGCTATTTTTATACATTCATCAACTTCCAAATTTACAAAAAGATGAATCTATATTCAGAATTTTGATCAATAGAGTTAGAAAAATGCCATTTACTAGTCTGTCTTCATAGGCGTAGAGAAAACATCGATTATCAAAAATTTATACGTAAGTTACTCTATGCAATGATGTAATAAAAATAAAAAAATGTTGAGATACTGCTTTTGTTTCTGAGGCCAGTGTTATTGTGTTTATTTAAAATCTATATAGTAATTTTTGAATTATCGCATTTCGTATTATCCATAGTTATAACTGTGTTATTAAAGGTCATAAGATAATAGTTCGATAATTGATTTCACGGTGGAATTCCATTTCCGGCTGGCTCAGGAAAAAAAGGAAAAGATTTTTTTAGATAAGTTATTTTTTATTCAAGAACCTTTAATGTCATAAACTATGAATTGGGACGTGAACGGCATTGAAAACGCTGGTTTGTTTAATTTAAAGTGAACGTAAAATGTTCTCAATGCAATTTAATAATTATTGAGATAATTAATTTTATGCCTTGATTTGACGTTGTATTATTAAATATGCATTTGCATAGTTAAGTAAGTAGGCAGATACATAAAATAGGCTAATAAATTGTGCGAAAAATGGATTATTTATTAATATAAGATAATTGACCTTCTTTTTCGATAACACTGAATGTTTTTATTCGGTAATATTATGTTTTTTTTTGGTATAATATTTTTATTTGAAAGGGTTTATATATCTAAAATGTAAAATATTTTTTAACGATTACATTACTAGATTTTAATGATAAAATAGTAAATTCTAATATTGCTTGATCTAACTAAAATGTCTTTCTATTTTCAAAAACTAAAGCCGGTTACATAAAATAGCTTTTTATGAACAAAGGCGGTATACAAATTCAAAAAACTTCATTTGAATTCGGACGAATATTTACTGACTAGGATTTTTCCGTGATACTTTATTATCGCCGTCAAACATATAACCTTTTTTTTTTCCGATTTTGATTTCGCATAATAACTCAAAGCTATTTTGAAAAATAGCTTTGAGTTATTATGCGTTTTTTGAATATTCTAACTTGGGCAATTAGGAGAGCAGGATACTAAAATAAAGCTGTTGTTGTTGAAGACGGATATGAAAAAGCGTAACGTTGATTATTGCAAAAAAATGCCTCGGAACGTATCTTACTGGACTAGTAATACGTCAAACCTAATATCTTATAATATGTATAATAAGTAATAAGCTAGAATGTGTTTGTGAATGTTATTCTTAGATAACAATTTATAAAGAAGCTAAAGATCTGGAATTATGGTAATATGGCACAATGAAAACGCAGACCAGAGTCAAAATAGAAAAGTTTATTTTATATTTTGCCTTAGTCTGTAACCGAAAGCTTCTTTGGTTGTTTAATTGGCTAAGACATTGGCTACCTTTTCGAAACGGATGTTTAGTTACCTCTACTGCAAGTGCGTGTATTTAAAATTAGACAGTTCATTAAGTTCCGTCTAGTGTCTCGACTTATATAATAGATTTTGTGGAGTATTAATGATAGTAATAGTATCTTTTCTAAATTGGTGTCTATGTAATTTGTCTGTCACTTTTATAATTGAGAAGGTAACATTAGAAACTAGGTACGGAAAGTTTAATTAGAGATATTTTTATGGAGCTACCTCAATAAATTACATTCTTTTTATTTCAATAACGATATAGGCACCTATCATCTAAAGTTTAATTGAATCATTGAGATTCGATCGAAATCAAGAGATGTTTTAGGTATTGAGGTACATTCAGTATTAATTTTTACATTGTACTTTATGATTTTTAATAATTTGATAATGGTATGAGATCATTTACGATTATCATAGTTTAAAATTGTATTAGATTGTATAAAGTTATTGGTACAAAAAATATGTTGGCTTTGTGGTTTGACGTATTGTTATTAATTACATAAACTCAACATGCTTAATCTATAGCAATTAGTGGGTTAAGTTATTATTTTTTTTTCCGCATGCGTTTATATAAAAAAGTGGTACGACCTTCATTTAAATTTTGTAATGTCATATTTATGTTATCTTTCCTTGCGCCGATGTTTATAACGGACCAATTTTTTAAATTATTCTTACATAATAAACCGAATTATCTGCGCCATGATTTTGTCTCGTCAATACTATCAAGCACTTAAATGAATGTGATTTCATGTGGTTTACACAAAGAAAACGGAGCTAGATCTCGTAGTGGTTAGAAAGTTCGATTAGCATAGGCCGTTCATAGGCTGGGTGATCAAAACTTTAACTCTTTGTAGTAGTCAAAAATCATATTATTAAGCAGAGACTTAACAAAGGTTAACCTAATACGAGGTTCTACGGGAGTAATATTTGATAATTGGATTAATACTAAAATTGCAATTTTAGCGAAAATTGACTCTGACGCTAAACCTTGTTTATAAGTAGCACTGTAATATCCTCCGTGCTTCGGAAGGCACGTTCAGCCGTTAGTCCCAGCATCCTATGTCATTGTTAACACCCACCAATCCATCCACCGATTGGTGCAAAACATTCCATCCATTACGGAAGCTCTGTGTCCGAGCAGCGGGAACATTAATATGCTGATGATGAGTTGCGATCTAAGGTATAAAACATGTTAATTTTCTCTAAACCCTATCTTTTTTCCATCTACTTCTACAGATCCAATTCTCAATTATTTTTTTTATTGCTTAAAGGTTCAATAAGCCTGTTTTTTTATTTAATTACAAGTTATACAATTATTCTATGATTTTCTTTATTTTTGATGTTTGACCTACAAACTACCAAAGTGGCACCGAACGGAAGTAAAATGGGAAATCGTTGGTATTGCATCCAGGCGTCATGCGCCACCTTGCGGGAGCAACATCGGATTATGATGAAATTCATCTATGTGATGCCGAGGCAGTTCACTGGTGATGATAGGTGTAGTAACAACACGCTGGGGCACAGTCCTTGCCTATGACTAGAATCAAATAGGGAGAATGAACCACAACCCATCACGTAGGTCTAATG